CCTGTGTTAGTTACTCACCTGGTCTCATCACCTCCTTATTTAGTTCAGTTCTTTCTGTTTGTGCCTTGTGAGGTATTGTTCATTTTGACTCTACTAAGCCTTTTCCTAGCTCGTTTGTAAGAACCAGTTTTAGCCTTCAGTCCTAGTATTGTTTCACCTGCCTGTTTGCCTACCGGTGTATGACCATTGCCTTCCTGTGACCATGATTCCTGCCTTCTGCGAAGGCGTAATAAACACCTGCCGCACTCTGCGCGTGAATCTACACCTTTTTCTCCCTGAGTATTCATTACAGTAACATCACGATGAAATAGTTGTGATCATTTTAAGGAGAACAAAAACGACTTAGATTTAAACACCACCGCAGAAGATTCACTATTTGCCATCTTCCAAGATGTTTTGTTTACATAAAGAGACCTAGCTATCAAAATTCGCAGTGCCCCTCTTCCAATGCACTGTGGCTGTGAAATTCCCAAAAAGTGTGCAGCGAATTGTACTAGATGAAAAGCCAAAATGAGTATAAGATCCTGGCATTTAAAGCATACTCGATTTTTTTGAAATTCACATACTATAACACTTTCTATTTTCGCATACTGAGAATGTGTAATGCGCGATTGCGTTGCTTCCTGCTATTCGTTGATTTTGGTAGCCATCCCCATATCTAATTGATCATCTGTTGTCAAAGCCGAAATGAGTATGACATCCGGGCATTTAAAGTATACTTGATTTCCGAAATGTCACATACTATTAAACATTATTTTTTCGGATACTGAAACGGCCTACTATTTAGGATGTAAGTATGGGCCTCCTGAGTGGCGCAGTGGTCTCTGTGGAAGCTGTGCCACTAGAGATCCTGGTTCGAATCCAGGCTCTGTCGTAGCCGGCCGCGACCGGGAGATCCATGGGGCGGCGCACAATTGGCCCAGCGTCGTCCAGGGTAGGGGAGGGAATGGCCGGCAGGGAACTGTAGCTCAGTTGGTAGAGCATAGCGTTTGCAACGCCAGGGTTGTGGGTTCGATTCCCACGGGGGGCCAGTAATAAAAATATATTATAATAATACTGTATGCACTCACTAACTGTAAGTCGCTCTGGATAAGAGCGTCTGCTAAATGACTAAAATATAATGTAAATGTATTCGGACACGGCCTGTGTTAGTCTGACTGCTCTGTGAGTGAGAGTGTTAGTTATGATGTGTGTGAGAGAGTGCGTGTGTTTGTGAGAGAGAGAAAGAGGGAGCTGAACATGACCTGTCTAAACAGAACACTGTATAAATCCTCATGGCTCCAGTTCTCTGTCAGACTCCTCAGATCTCTTTACACACACACACACACACATCATGCAACAGGAGAACTGTGTGTGCGTGTGTAATTCTGGGAAGGCACAATTTAGGAAAATAATTTGGAAAGGAATGCACTGTGGCCTCTCACTCGAATCTCTAACATCCACTTGTTTCCTCTTTTCATTCCAAAAGGAATGCTACTCATCTTTCTTTGACTCTATCCACCTCTTTCTCTGCTCCCTCACTGTCTCTAGTGTATGGTGGCACTTGTGTGTTTCATGGATTGCAGTAGGGGGCAATCCATATTGCATATATTTGGGTATTATTCTACACACTGGCTATTATTTGAATGAGCTCCGCCACCAAACAAGACCAAATTTGGTTGGGCCGTACCAGAACAAATCGGAACCAATCATAGATGTCTACTTTTCACAAGTTAGTATATCAAAGTACAGCACAGTATAGCTCAGTAGAGTACAGTACAGTACATTACTGAACAGTAGAATATAGTAGAGTAGAGTTCAGTGCAGTATAGTCAACTCTAGTGTGCTCTACTGTGTACTGTACTTAACTTTACTCCACTCTATTCTACTCTACTGAATTCTACTCTGCTTGTATTTACTATACTGTACTCTACTGTGCTCTACTGTACTGTAATGTACTGTACTGTACTCTACTGTGCTGTACAAACTTGTGAAACTTAGATGTCTATGATTGGTTCAGATTTGGACCGGACCAAATCTGAAACATTAATGGACGTCTATGTTTAGGCCAAATGAAGGTCGGTCCAGACGTCTGTGAACATTGAAATCAAGGCTGGTCCGAAGTATGTGGACGTTGAAATCGAAGCCAGGGCGGACTGACCAAATTTATACTAATTTTAGACATCAACGGACGTCCGGTGTCGGTCAGTGCTCAGTGGGTATGCTGCTTACAGTAAACGGAAAGAGAGGGGGCTCATGGGTAGGTGTCAGTAAGAGCCGGGACAGGTGGCATTATGTGGAGAGAGAGAAGAGAGGGAGGGAGGGAGAGGGAGGGGATGTCCAGACATTTCACACTCTTGCGTTGACCACCAGATGACAGAAAGTCATAGCAGGTGACCCAACTGTGGTTTGTGACTTCTACGATTTCCCATTGTAGCCATTTCAATTGCAGAAATTCTGTTACTGATTTTTTCAGAAATTCTGTTAGATTTTTTTATCATTTAATAATTAATTTAAAAAACCTGTAAGTAATTGATAGATCTACCTTTACTTGTTACTTCTGTGAATGTTTATTATCCTCCCTCATGAGGGAGAGAAATTAGAAAATAGATATGTGGCTTTTTGGTAACGGAATTTCAAGGCAGAAGACAAGGTTTCTTAAACTTACAGAAGGCAGAAAAAATTATCCCAAACTAAATATGTGTTGCTATTAGTTGGCAGGGGTCTTTACTTCAACATTATTGAGTTTGGATTTATTTCTAATACCTTTTAAGACTTTTTCTGCTAGATGGTTTCAAAGACCCCTTCTCCATCTGTTTGACAAGAAATCAAAGCCTTTGCTTATTCCTACTTTTTAGGATGGAAAATGGTTGAAAAATGTATATACGTCTTAATAAATAAATAAAAAATAGACTTAGCTTTCATTTGACACCCAATTTGACATGCTCCCACGAACTTCACATGTTGGTGCTCATGAGTCCTTTTACATGGAAATGACCTAGGCTATATATCTAGAATGGTTTTGGCTGTGTGAGTGTGCAAGGCTGTTTCTAGGATTTGAGGACATTTGGGGCTTAGCCCAAAGCTCAATGGGGAACCCTAGTAGGCGGATCCGGGGGTCTCCCCCGGAAGAAAGAAAATGGAATTTGAACAGCTAAATGCATCAATCTGGTGCACTTTGTGATGAACATTGAGAGGTTAAATATTCTAAGAATGTAAAATAACAACAACAAAAACTACAAGAATAAACTAATGTCAATTATATTCAAAAGCGAATACAATATAAAGACATTCCGGTAATTTGCCCCTTCCCACCTGCCACAGCAGACACTGCCAGTGTTCAATTACAGTAGCTACTGTGGGTCTCTCTACTCTGGAACAAATATGCCTACATCTACAGTGTATTGCCAAAAACTTCCACTTAACAACTTCAAACATTGACTCTGACCTGTTCAATGCTTAAAGAATCCCACAGTTAGCAAGCTCTCTCTCTCACACACACACACACACACACAGTACAACATACACTGAGTATATAAAACATTAAGGACACCTTCCTAACCCCCCAAACTGAGCAATCGGGGCAGAAGGACCTTGGTCAGGAACCCAATGGTCACTGACAGAGCTCCAGAGTTCCTCTGTGGAGATGTGAGAACCTTCCAGAAGGACAACCATCTCTGCTACACTCCACCAATTAGGCCTTTATGGTAGAGTGGCCAGACAGAAGCCAATCCTCAGGAAAAGGGACATGACAGCCTGCTTGGAGTTTGCCAAAAGGTACCTAAAGACTCTCAGACCATGGGAAACAAGATTCTCTGGTCTGATGAAACCAAGATTGAACTCTTTGGCCTGAATTCCAAGTGTCACGTCTGAAACCTGACACCATCCCTACGGTGAAGCATGGTGGGGGCAGCATCATGCTGTGGGGATGTATGCTGTGGGGATGTTTTTCAGTGGCAGGGATTGGGAGACTAGTCAGGATTGAGGGAAAGATGAACGGAGCAAAGTACAGAGAGATCCTTGATGAAAACCTGCTCCAGAGTGCTCAGGACCTCAGAGTGGGGCGACGGTTGACCTTCCAACAGAACAACGGCCCTAAGCACACAGCCAAGACAATGCAGGAGTGGCTTTGGGACAAGTCTCTGAATGTCCTTGAATGGCCCAGCCAGAGCCCGGACTTGAACCCGATCTAACATCTCTGGAGAGACCTGAAAATAGCTGTGCAGCAATGCTCCCCATCCAACCTGACAGAGCTTGAGAGGATCTGCAGAGAAGGTGTGCCAAATACAGGTGTGCCAAGCTTGTAGCGTCATATCCAAGAAGACTCGAGGTTGTAATTGCTGCCAAAGGTGCTTCAACAAAGTACTGAGTAAAGGGTCTGAATAGTTATGTAAATGTAATATTTTTAATACATTTGCAAAAATTCTAAAAAACCGTTTTTGCTTTGTCATTATGGGGTATTATGTGTAGACTGTTGAGGAAATTTTAGAATAAGGCTGTAAAAGTCAAGGGGTCTGAATACTTTCCAAATGCACAGCACTGTATTGTTTTCCCAATGGGGACTGTGTGTGGTTCCTAGTCTATTAATACCTGTTTATTTTATAGTTAGATCATGAGGTCTAACCCCATAGCCCTGCACATTCACTTGGCCAATACTACACGCACGCACGCATGCATTGTGTGCACACACATACTTAGAAATGCGTAGTAATTTCCTCCCTCTGTCAGTTCCCCTGAAGGCCACTTTGTTGGCTGTGTTGATGGATGGGTTGAAATTAGCCTAGTGTAAACAGATGCTGTTTGCCTCTCTAACTTTCTCCCTCTCTCACGCTTTTTCTCTCTTTCCCCCCCTCTCTCTCTCATTCTTTCTCACAACTCCCCTCTCTCCCTCCCTCTCTTACTTTCTCTCTCTCCCTCTCGCTCTTTCCCTCCCTATCTCTCTCTCCCCACCCTTCCCCCTCCCTCTCCCCCTCTCTCTCTGCCCCCACTCTCTCCCCCTCCCTCTCTCCATAGAACTGTGTATGATAGATGTGATTCTATGCCAGGATCAGAACGCTTTGCTGAGTTACGAGGCGATCCGTAGCATCCACAAACTGATGGACGATGATGCCGATGGAGCCGTGGACATGAGCGAGACAGACGGGGTGAGATACACACATAACAATGCACACACACACACATCCACACACAAACACACTGTACTCTCTCTGAAGGTCAGGGCCACATTAAAACTCAAGGCTGTTTTATCGAGAGGTGTCAGTTTCCTGGACTCCAAATTAGATGAAAACCAGCACTAGGGGTGGGAATTGCCAGGGACATCACGTTACGATATTACCACAATACTTAGGTGCCGATATAATATGTATTGTGATTCTCATGATTCTATATGTATTGCGATTCGATACTGTGATTTTATTGCAGTTTGATGTTCCAAACATATTGCTGAGTGTACAAAACATTAAGAACACCTACTCTTTCCATGACGTAGATTGACCAGGTGAATCCAGGTGAATGCTATGATTCCTTATTGATGTCACAGGTTTGTGTCAAGAACTGCAACATTGCTGGGTTTTTCACACTCAACAGTTTCCTGTGTGTATCAAGAATGATCCACCACCCAAAGGACATCCAGCCAACTTGACACAACTATGGGAAGCATTGGATTCAACATGGGGCCGCATCCCTGTGGAACGCTTTCGACACCTTATAAAACCTGCCCCAACAAATTGAGGCTGTTCTGAGGGCAAAAGGGGGTGCAACTCAATATTAGGAAGGTGTTCTTAATGTTTTGTACACTCAGTATATGTCTGCTGCAGAAAGACAAGAGAAAGCATGAGAAGTGAGTTTTGATCAGTCATGGAAAAAAAGTGCTCAAAACAGGTTGGCTCACTATTTAAAAAGAAGATGGAGAACAAGCTATAGGATGACATTTTTTATAAATTAAATTGATAGTTGGAGTCAAAGTATCTATATAATATCGGCCAAAATAATATTACAAAATGTAACTGTATCCTCCTGCCCCCCCCCCCCCCCCCGCCTCCCTCCCTCCTTATCCTCACACCTGTACTCTCCCCATGATCCCCCCAACCTCCCTGTCCCTATGTGTCACTCCAAACCCTCTGGCAGCGCTCTGAACAGCTCTCCTAATCCTGTGTGTTTCTTGTGTGTGTGTTTCTGTGTGTTTCTCGTGTGTGTGTGTTTTTGTGGCTGAGGATATGAACAGTTGTTCACAATGTAAGGCAAAACACACATTAGCGGTATGTAATTCTCTCTCTCTCTCTCTCTCTCTCTCTCTCTCTCTCTCTCTCTCTCTCTCTCTCTCTCTCAGTTCCTGAGGGAGGATCTGAAGTACCATGACCCCAAAGGAAAACACAACAGTTTCCATGGAGCAGACCTGCTCATCAGTGTAGAGGACATGTGGAACGTATGGAGGGCCTCGGACGGTACGGAGGGAATGAGGGAGGTGGGTGGGAAGGGGGTATCTGGGAGGGAGCGAAGAGGGATTGTGGAGGAGGGAGGGTAAGCCTGAGACCGTTCACACTGTCATAAATCCAGGTGTATCTGGTTTGTCCATTGGGACAGCCAGTCCTCCAATAGGCTGTTTTGTGTTAATGAGTGTGGGGTGCGTTGGGACAGCTGTTTGTGTTAGAGCAGATTAGCATGGTAGATACAGAGAGACAGAGTAGGCCCCAGATAGACAGGGGCTGCGTCCCAAATGGCACTCAAGTCTCTATTTAGTGCACTACTTTTGACCAGGGCCCATGCGGCTCTGTTCAAAAGTAGGGCACTCTATAGGGAATAGGGTGCCATTTGGGACAAAGACAGAGATCCGCCAGTGCTCTTACTCAATTAATCTTCCCTTGTGTATGTGTGTGTGTGTGTGTGTGTGTGTAGTGTACAACTGGACAGTGGTGGAGGTGGAAGACTGGCTCATACACTATGTGGAGCTCCCTCTGTATGTGGACACCTTCAGGAAGCACAATCTGGACGGAAAGGCCTTACCCAGGTAACACACACACGCCTCATACAGACACACGGGTCGTTCTTGAATTGCGGGGGCATTTGCGTCCCTTTGCCTTTGCAACCATGAAAAACACTTTACAATGACAAATAGTTACACACAGTGGTGTGTATTCATGGATACCAAGGGAAGCCAGGCTCCCCCAAAAAATTTACCAATAAAAAAACATAAATTAATTTTTATTTCGTCACTCTGTGTTTCACAATTTTCCTTCAATTCGCAAGAGGCTGAATGTATATCACAGGAGAAGCATCCGAGTGAGCGAAACAGTGCCCCTCTGTCTCTCTACGTGTAGGCCATCTATCTGATGCTGTCTGGTCCAAATGAGTATGACATTGTTGCCGCCCATAGCATTGAAGGCAAGGGAAGCCAGCGAGCATCTGGCCTCCCTTGACAATTTTTTTTATAAAACAGCGTTGAGCTAAACTGAGCGAGCTCAACTATGAATGGTTCTGGTGCACCTAAAAAAGTGTCAAGGGAAGCCAGCTTGGATTTGGCATCACTCCTATGAAATCCCATTGAGAGCATACATCATTGACAGAAAAACTTGAATTGTTGCATCTCGTTGTGTTGTTGTCCTCCGGTGGCTAGCTAGCCAGCTAGCTAAAATTGGCCCTTTCCTAAATTAACCGTGGATGGAGATAGGGATTTGGACTTGTGGTTTTACTTAATTCTCCGTACTGACCAATGATTATAACGGCGATTCTGATCCAACCATTCATTCATACATTGTTGTGCCCCTGGCCTGAGAGGATGGAAGTTCAATATGTAGCTAAATGTACAGTACCAGTCAAAAGTTTGGACACACCTACTCATTCTAGGGTTTTTCTTTATTTTTACTATTTTCTACATTGTAGAATAATAGTGAAGACATCAAAACTATGAAATAACACATATGGAATCATGTAGTAACCAAAAAAGTGTTAAACAAATCAAAATATATTTTATATTTGAGATTCTTCAAAGTAGCCACCCTTTGCCTTGATGACAGCTTTGCACACTCTTGGCATTCTCTCAATCAGCTTCATGAGGTAGTCACCTGGAATGCATTTCAATTAACAGGTGTGCCTTGTTAAAAGTTAATTTGTGGAATTTCTTTACTTCTTAATGCGTTTGAGCCAGTCAGTCGCAAAAACCATCAAGCGCTATGATGAAACTGGCTCTCATGAGGAACGCAACAGGAAAGGAAGACCCAGAGTTACCTCTGCTGCAGAGGATGTTCATTAGAGTTAACTGCATCTCAGATTGCAGCCCAAATAAATGCTTCACAGAGTTCAAGTCACAGACACATCTCAACATCAACTGTTCAGAGGAGACTGTGTGTATCAGGCCTTCATGGTCGAATTGCTGCAAAGAAACCACTACTAAAGGACACCAATGAGAAGAAGAGACTTGCTTGGGCCAAGAAACACGAGCAATGGACATTAGACCGGTGGAAATCTGTCATTTGGTCTGATGAGTCCAAATTTGAGATTTTTGGTTCCAACTGCCATGTCTTTGTGAGACGCAGAGTAGGTGAACGGATGATCTCTGCATGTGTGGTTCCCACCATGAAGCATGGAGGAGGAGGTGTGATGGTGTGGGGGTGCTTTGCTGGTGACACTGTCTGTGATTTATTTAGAATTCAAGGCACACTTAACCAGCATGGCTACCACAGCATTCTGTAGTGATACGCCATCCCATCTGGTTTGGGCTTAGTGGGACTAACATTTGTTTTTCAACAGGACAATGACCCAACACACCTCCAGGCTGTGTAAGGGCTATTTGACCAAGAAGGAGAGTGATGAAGTGCTGCATCAGATGACCTGGCCTCCACAATCACCCGACCTCAACCCAATTGAGATGGTTTGGGATGAGTCAGAACGCAGAGTGAAGGAAAACAGCCAACAATTGCTCAGCATATGTGGGAACTCCTTCAAGACTGTTGGAAAAGCATTCCAGGTTAAGCTGGTTGAGCAAATGCCAAGAGTGTGCAAAGCTATCATCAAGACAAAGGGTGGCTACTTTGAAGAATCTCAAATATAAAATATATTTTGATTTGTTTAACACTTTTTTGGTTACTACATGATTCTATAAGTGTTATTTCATAGTTTGATGTCTTCACTATTATTCTACAATTTAGAAAAAGTAAAAATAAAGAAAACCCCTTGAATGAGTAGATGAGTCCAAACTTTTGACTGGTACTGTAGAAGGCTAATGTTAACTAGCTAACGTTGCCCCTGAATGGCAGTTAGGCTAGCGAGCAAGGACAACAAAAAGTGTGTACTGTGTGACAGTGATAGACCGTTTCGTCAACATGAAAGAGAGGAGGATGGCATTGGCGTTTCTCTACAAGTTGGGTGAGTCAACATGTTTTTGTTTTTATACTAACACACACACACACAGAAATCAGAACCATGTACGGCCACATCACTATATTAGACTAAGTAGAGGTGATTTGATGATGTTGAAATGTGGAAGTTGAAATGGTGCTGGAATAGTGAACTCTCTGTGGTTCTAAATCAATAATTGTTTAATGGTTCGAAAATGTCGGAAACATTAACTTGCTTGACCATGCTACCATCAGTCCTGTGTCATGCCAACAGTAAAGCATCCTGACAACATTCATGTGTGGGGTTGATTCTCAGCCAAGGGAGTGGGCTCACTCACAATTTTGCCTAAGAACACAGCCATGAATAAAGAATGGTACCAACACATCCTCAGAGAGCAACTTCTCCCAACCATCCAAGAAAAGTTTGGTGACGAACAATGCCTTTTCCAGCATGATGGAGCACCTTGCCATAAGGCAAAAGTGATTACTAAGTGGCTTGGGGAACAAAACATCGACATTTTGGGTCCATGGCCAGGAAACTCCCCAGACCTTAATCCCATTGAGAACTTGTGGTCAATCCTCAAGAGGCGGGTGGACAAACAAAACCCCACAAATTCTGACAAACTCCAAGCATTGATTATGCAAGAATGGGCTGCCATCAGTCAGGATGTGGCCCAGAAGTTAATTGACAGCATGCCAGGGCGGATTGAAGAGGTCTTGAAAAAGAAGGGTCAACACTGCAAATATTGACTCTTTGCATAAACTTAATGTAATTGTCAATAAAAGCCTTTGACATTTATGGAATGCTTGTAATTATACTTCAGTATACCATAGTAACATCTGACAAAAATATCTAAAAACACTGAAGCAGCAAACTTTGTGAAGACCAATACTTGTGTCATTCTCAACACTTTTGACCACGACTGTAGACCTTACCGTGAAATGCTTACTTACAAGCCCTTAAACAACAACGCAGCTTTAAGAAAAATAAGAGTTAAGAGTTTTTAGAATAAATAAACTAAAGTAAAAAATAATGGCTTGGGGGTAGAAGCTGTTAAGAAGCCTTTTGGACCTAGACTTGGCACTCCGGTACCGCTTGCCGTGTGGTAGCAGAGAGAACAGTCTATGACTAGGGTGGCTGGAGTCTTTGACAATTTCTAGGGCCTTCCTCTGACACCGCCTGGTATAGAGGTCCTGGATGGAAGGAAGCTTGGCCCCAGTGATGTACTGGGCTGTACGCACTACCCTCTGTAGTGCCTTGTGGTCGGAGGCCGAGGAGTTGCCATACCAGGCAGTGATGCAACCAGTCAGGATACTCTTGATGGTGCAGCTGTATAATTTTTGGACGATCTGTGGACCCATGCTAAATCTTTTCAGTCTCCTGAGGGGGAATAGTCTTTGTCGTGCCCTCTTCACAACTGTCTTGGTGTGTTTGAACCATGATAGTTTGTTGGTGATGTGGACACCAAGGATCTTGAAGCTCTCAACCTCCTCCACTACAGCCCCGTCGATGAGAATGGGGTCGTGCTCGGTCCTCTTCTTTTTCCTGTAGTCCACAAACATCTCCTTTGTCTTGATCACGTTGAGGGAGAGGTTGTTATCCTGGCACCACACGGCCAGGTCTCTGACCTCTGCCCTATAGGCTTTCTCATCGTTGTCGGTGATCAGGCCTACCACTGTTATGTCGTCGGCAAACTTAATGATGGTGTTGGAGTCGTGCCTGGTCATGCAGTCATGGGTGAACAGGGAGTACAGGAGGGGACTGAGCACGCACACCTGAGGGGCACCTGTGTTGTTACCTACCCTTACCACCTTGGGGGGGGGGGGGGGGGGGGGGGGGCGGCCCATCAGGAAGTCCAGGATCCAGTTGCAGAGGGAGGTGTTTAGTCCCAGGGTCCTTAGCTTAGTGATGAGCTTTGAGGGTACTATGGTGTTGAACGCTGAGCTGTAGTCAATGAATAGCATTCTCACATAGGTGTTCCTTTTGTCCAGGTGGGAAAGGGCAGTGTGGAGTGCAATAGAGATTGCATCATCTGTGGATCTGTTAGGGCGGTATTCAAATTGGAGTGGGTCTAGGGTTTCTGGTGTAATAGAGTTGATGTGAGCCATGACCAGCCTTTCAAAGCACTTCATGGCTACAGACTTGATTGGAGTCCACCTGTGGTAAATTCAATTGATTGGACATTATTTG